AACATGTGTGGCTGTTTTCACTTTTGACATCCATTGAGCGCAATTTCACTACCATTGTGCTGTCTTAATATTTTCTACATATTACAATCATCAATGAAAATTCAGTTTCTGTTTTGTTCTATTTGTTACACATAAATTGTTATTCCTACTGTACTGTTGAACCATCTCTAGCTTTTAGCTCAAGTTTTTCCTCTTTTTTTTGTTGGCAGAACTGTAGATTAAACTAAAAATCACATAATTAGATTAAGAATGTCCAACTGCTTTTTCCATTTTTCTTCCTTCCCTCTCCAATTAAATTAATTAATTGTTTTCCTCCATTTGGAAGAATCAATCAGAAATATACATGTTACTGGCTGGGTCCTGTTCTCTCTGTCCATATCAAATACAAGGATGTGATACAAGGTCTCTAGGCAATCATCTACTTTTTGGCATAGGATCACTATACTATTATTGCTGTCAGATATATAAAACAGAGTAACTTTCCAATGTGCACAATACCTTTATGTTAGAAAACTATTATTGATAATTGTATTTAATTTTTTTACAGAAGCAAATAATGTTTCACATCTTGCCTCGCCATTCAAGTATACCACAGACATTTGCATTGTTTCCCTTTCAGTCATCAAGAAACATTGCAAGTGAAGCTGCCCAGAATCAGAATCAGCTGTTTCCACAGCCCGAGCTGTAGCTATGGGCCACACCAGATTTGTTTCCCCAGCAGACATATTGAAACACAAATAATTTCCCATGCCCCAGAACTTGCATTTTTTTGTCTCTACTTCTAACATTTCCAACAACCAAAATATATCACCTGTTTTGGTAAGTGTGTTGTAGTATGACTGAGTCATGCAAGATATTACAGAAAGCATCTCTCATTAATACATTAACCATGTTGGGTTTAATACGATGTTTCATAAACTCCCTCATCAGAATAAATACAAATAATGAATAGCTGAGAAACACAAACGTATGTGCTTAGATCCATTAAAAGTGTACATTTACTGTCACTAGAAGTTTGAAGTACAATAAATACTGCTTATTTGTCACAGAAGATCACTACCTTCTTTCTCAAAGCCATCCTGGAAAAGGATTTTAGCAGAAGTTGGCTCAGTTTCACATCCTATTGAAAGAAGTTCCTCTATTGCTGTTTGCACCTTTGAAAAAATTAAGAACATGAAAAGCAGTCACAGTACAACAGGGTCTGGATCATTTCAGCAGAGAGCTTCAACATACAAGTCATCACTGCATTTTTCATCAGCTAGGGACAAGCGGCAAGGCAACTCTGAGCAGGTAGCCAAACAGTAAATGATAAAATCCAGCTCAACACAGAGAATAAACTTCCAGGTCTAATACCCGTCACAGGGTGTGAGGCATCCTTTAGGCATCCAGCAGCCCCCTCAGAAAGGGGCAGATTTCTTACATGAGTTATATCACAGCCTGGACATCTGCATGTCCCTCCAGGCTCCACCAGCTCTGTTGACTAGATACCTAATGACTATCATGGAGCTATCACCCAGGGTAGTTTTGACAGTGACCAACTACTGCATCAAGAGAGCATAGGACTTTCAAGAAGCCAGATCAGAGCTCCAGCCTGAAGCAAGAGCCATACACTACACATTTGGTGTTAGAGGAGAAATCTAAGGGTCTAGTACCTGAAAATACTACATGCTTCATTGCAGATATAAGCGAAGCGCAGATGCTGTGGTATGCTCAGAATATACCTGGGAGTGAGTTTCCCGAAAAATCTCACTGCGAGACACTCCTAGTAACAAAAAATCATCCCTACATCATGTAGAATTTATCTCAGCTTCTGGGCCAAACACTTAACTGATGTCAAGTCCCACAACTTCATCAATTACACTCCAGCTGAGAACTAGGTGTTTGCTTTGGATGATACCTACCTGGAGAGCCGTAGCATTTGTAGGCATCATTCTGCGCAATGTGTTATTTCGGGAGATACTGAACCACCCTGTACCAGACACAGTCAACATCTGGCAAGCAAAGCAAATAAATGAAAACAGATATAAGCTGCATAAGACACGCAGACTTCAAACCTAGTATCTTCTACCAAGAAGGATTTTACAGTCTGCGTTTTGCATTTTTAAGCCTCTGTAAATCAAGAGTTCCTTCAGGTACTCTTAAACTACTGATGTTCTCCATAGTCTGTCCTGACACAAGCCTCGGGCTCCCATTCTTAGATTAAGAGGAGCACAAGGGATACATGACCTGTGCAGACACTGGCAGCCACAAATGGTCCCTAAAGCTCCTGACCTGCAGCTGTGAAATTTAACCACTAGGACAGATCTCTCTCATTGCTGAGCACTTCATCAAGCTGAAAGTTTCTATCATCTGATGGCAATATAGGGTTGACCAGATAACACACATTTTGAGTATGCTGTCACAAATGAAGAGGAAATAAAAGCTATTCCAAGCTTCTATTAATGAGCATTAAGTAACGAGGAGAGGCATTAATGAGTGAGACAACAACACAGGGGAGTCAGCATTGCTTATCCTTTAACACATGTGCAGATTATAATGCTACCATAGGGTTAACACATGCCCAGCATGCATAAAAATCACAAACACCTTCAGCTCACAACACTGTTCAATAACTATGTCATCAGGTTAGAACAAGATGGGAACACAGTCACGTGTAGCATGGACAAAGCCTTTACAATTAAGAGTCACTGTCATCTGTGGCAACTAAATCAAGGCTACTCCAGCTCCCAGGGCCGAACACACAGCACTGACCTGCACTTCTGGAAGTTGCAAGGCACGAGCCCGAATTTCATGCCTCTCAATATAGTAGTTGTTCACCACGTGGGGATTCAGCCACGTGTTGTGTATCTGGACTCCAATCCGCATCCCGTTGCTGGGTGCCTTTCCATGATGCAGAGCTTCCAGGTAGTACCTCAAACCAGCAGTTAGCTCGAATTTCTGGGATTTTGGCTGCCAGTGCTCACTCCAGTTCTTCACCCAGTTCTCAGACCACTCCAAATTGCCAGCAGGGAGAGAAGCTATCCTCACCTGTGTCCAGACCAATCGAATTATTCAGTTACAGAGACATTTCTCTAGCCCCAAGACACTTTGTCCTATACGACAGCTCCAAAATGAACAAACTCATGCTTGCAGCTGATAGCAGTGGGCTGATGGTTGACACACTTCTCCCTAACCTACAGGAAAAAGCCATCATCTAGAAGAGCTTTGGTTTAGGGCTCAATACCATAAAGAAGATAATTCTTACGGCTGACCCTAGCCCTAATAACAGTTCCCCATGCAGCTTTTCATGCTATGTCTTATGTCCTCCAAAAATAAAAATAAGAACTATGTCTACAGCCTTCTGCGATGTAGTATGTTACCATTAGTAAGACCAGTAATGCTACTCGTTTTTCATAGATAAGAAGTTCTTTAAATTTTTTCTAGCTCTGTTCAGTTACTAGTCTTAAGAATAGCCCAGAGAAATGCATCACCTTAATTTATAGCATCCTCTCTGCAAGAGATTCATAATAAGGGCAAACAAACCAGTTCACACTGGGGAAATTCCTACTTGTTAGTTTTAACCTTAGTTAAAACCATTTCTTAAGCTGATCTTATTTTTCCTCAGATAAGAGTAATACCTTATGTTCTGGATCTTGGGACAAACTTAAGTAGAGGGATGCCTGATCATCTGCCTGGATCCAGAAGGTGTAATTGTTGGTCTGAGGAGCCACAAAAAATCCACGAAGCCTGGAGCTAAGCAAAAGCAGAATATCCACAACATACAACAGAGTTACTACAAAAACCCTTCAGCCTCACACCCCACCTTCACATATACACTAAGTAACAAGGAAAGACTGGGAGACCAAGTTACAACAAACCAAACTCAGATTTTTAAACTGAAGGAACCACAAAATGACCCATTTTCAGATTAAATGTTGTTTATGCTTTACAGCAGTTTTCAAAAAGGAAAAAAACCAGCTCCACAAAAATAAGTATGGTTTTGTTGTTGGTCACTTTCTTGTGCATTTCTTCCCAAGCAAAATCTTAATCCTGAACAGGCAGGAAAAAAGCTCAAAATCACACACAAGATCAACTGAGAAAAACAGAAGTGATAAGAAAAATGAAAATATTCATGCACATTGCACAGCTTTTCAAGGGTGTATCTGAAGAAGCAATGGGCAGCAATACAGTTCAGATATTTTCGCAACTTGGGGCAAATCAGTGTATTTCCATTAATTGCACCCTGTGCTGCAGCTGCCAACATCAGCTGAGGGTCTGGCCCTCCACATCTGGTCGAAGCTCCAGCCCAAGACTGTCTAACTGGAGTTCCTTCCATCTCCACAGCAATTTCTTTTGTGCTATTTCAGCACATCTAGCCCAGGTAGAGCAGAAATACTGAATGAAAGCAAAAGGAGGAAAAATAAAACACTTCACTGCATATTTTGAGCTTCAAAAGGACCTCAGAGCAGAGGGTTTGCTTTGATTTATAGGAGCTATGCAGTAAGGCTCTGCTATAGAGAGCTGTCAGATGTTATTGCTACACCTTACACTGCTAAAGGTGATTGTCATGGCTTCATCTCTTTTTCAGATCACTGCGTACCTGAAGGACTTCTTTGCCCCAGACAGAAATCTTACTGGGGAGCTGGCATTAGGTACAAACTGCCATCTATATCCAGGACCTGCTTCTGTCAGATCAGAGGCGTCATCCCAGACTTCAAAGAGAAGCCCTCTGTTTCCTAGAAAGTTAAAATAAAAATGTTCTCAGTAGCAGCCAACAAAAATCCCAGAGCACATGCTAGAATCAGTGATGTAAGGAGGCAGGACAGAACAGAAAATTTTAATAATAAATTGTCTCTGTTTGTGGGTCTTTTTTGCAGTCCAAGGCAGATCATAGATCTCACTTTAGGGAATTTGTTCTGCTTCAAAATTCTCCACCAAAAATAATGAAAATCTGCAGAGAGTAGAGCATTCACCAAGCTCACATCTGCTCTTGCAGGAAAAGGTACTGAGATGACCACAGTCAAAATGAGCTAAGCCTCATTTTCATAGAATGGTTAGGGTTGGAAGGGACCTTAAAGATCATCTAGTTTCAATCCCCCTGCCAAGGGCAAGGACACCCTCCACTACATCAGGCTGCTCAAAGCTTCATCCAACCCAGCCTTGAACACTTCCAGGGATGGGGCATCTACAACTTCTCTGGGCAATCTGTTCCAGTGCCTCACCACCCTCAGAGTAAAACATTTCTTCCTTATATCCAATCTAAATCTCCCCTCTTTCAGTTTAAAGCCATTATCCCTTGTCCTATCATCACACGCCCTTGTAAAAAGTCCCTCTCCAGCTTTCCTGTAGGCCCCCTTTAAGTACTGGAAGGCTGCGATAAGATCACCCCGGAGCCTTCTCTTCTCCAGGCTGAACAACCCCAACTCTCAGCCTGTCTTCATAGCTGAGGTGCTCCAGCCCTCAGATCATCTTTGTGGCCCTCTTCTGGACCTGCTCCAGCAACTCCATGTCCTTCTTGTGTTGAGAGCTCCAGAGCTGAACGCAGTATTCCAGGTGGGTTCTCATGAGAGCAGAGTAGAGGGGCAGAATCCCCTTCCTCAATCTGCTGGCCACGCTCCTTTTGATGCGGCCCAGGATACGGTTGGCTTTCCGGGCTGCCAGTGCACATTGCCGGCTCATGTTGAGGCTTTTCATACATAAGCACTCCCAAGTCCTTTTCCTCAGGGCTGCTCTCAATCCATTCTCTGCCCAGCCTGGACTTGTGCTTGGGTTTGCACCGACCCACCTGCAGGACTTTGCACTTGGACTTGTTGAACTTCATGAGGTTCACACAGGCCCACCTCTCCAGCCTGTCAAGGTCCCTCTGGATGGCAACCCTTCCCTCCAGCGTGTCCACAACACCACACAACTTGGTGTCATCAGTAAACTTGCTGAGGTTGCACTCGATCCCACTGTCCATGTCACCAACAAAGATGTCAAATAGCACTGGCCCCATTACCAACCCCTGAGGAACACCACTCGTCACTGGCCTCCACTTGGACATTGAACCGTTGACCACAACTCTTTGAGTGCGACCATCCAGCCAATTCCTTATCCACCGAGTGGTCCAATAATTCCATAAAAAATCATTTTATGCACAATAATTTCCTACTGCAATGCTCCACTCAAGCAGAGTCCCCAGAATCATCTGCAGTAGCTCTAGTTCAGCTATCTTTCCTCTAAATATTATCCATCTTTTCCCACTCCCTCATTTTCCACAGCCCTACACACCAGGCTGACTTTCTTCCCACCATCACTCATCCGAAAGTTGCAGGCTGAGCTCTCCACCTTGCCTTTTCTTGCTACAGAATCATAGAATAATTTGGGTTGGAAGAGACTTTCAAAGGCCATTCAGTCCAACCCCTCTGTAGTAAGCAGGGACATCTTCAACTAGATCAAGTTCCTCAGAGTCCCATCCAACCTGACCTTGAATGGTTCCACGGATGGGTCATCTACCACTTCTCCGGGCAACCTGTGCCAGTGTCTCATCACCCTTACCTTAAAAAGTTTCTTATGTCTAGTCTAAATCTATCCTTTTTCAGTTTAAAACCATTACCCCTTGTCCTATTGCTACATGCCCTAGTAAAAAGTCTATCCTCATCTTTCTTGTAAGCCCCTTTTAAATATTGAAAGGCCGCAATAAGGTCCCCCCAGAGCCTTCCTTTCTCCAGGCTGAACAATCCCAACTCTCTCAGCCTGTCTCCATAGGAGAGGTGCTCCAGCCCTTGGATCATTTTTGTGGCCTTCCTCCCCATCAAATCTAGGAGAAACTGGCTTGATGTTGAAGCAGACAGCATTTCGGGAAGATCGGCTTCTTGTTTGTGTTCATCACCAAACAATTTCTGCCCTATGTTTCCATGTGTGTTTGCTGTTTGGACCTTCAGTTATATGAATACTGTACCTGGCTGGGGGGCATCAAGCCTCCTGCCCTTGCCAACAGGCTCAGTGGTGCATCTGATTTGCTGGGGAGAGACGTGCTTGACTCTACAGGGGACACCTGGCAGCAAGAAAAGGAGATAAATGTTCTGTATGAGAGCTGGAAACCCAGTGGAGCTGCAGCATGAACCCATCTTGTTTCCAAAAGGGGTCAACGCTTAGCTAAAAGCCTGGGCTTGTACTATCAAGGAAGCAAAACAGTTCATGCCCACAGTCAGAATAACTGGACCTTCCTGATGGTGAGTTCTACAAGTCTCAAACTAGTATCTATGAACGTCAGTTGGGTTTTATGGTCAGGGCCATGAGCACTGTATTGGGAAAAAAAAAAAAAAATAAATAATTATTTCACACATTTCTCCTCTTACCTGCAGCAGTGACCTGCACCGGCTCCTCGAAGAAATCCCCAGTGACAGTGAGATCAGTGCCTCCTCCGAGACTCCCACCAGCTGGGAACACAGAGGCTATCTCTGGAGGGGAAGGAAAAGGGGAATCTGAAAACAAGCATTGGAAAGGTTAATCCTAACCCTATTTTTGTCAGAGCCAGCAGTGCACTTGCACTGTTTCCAGCCGGAGCAGGCTCCTGTGAATGAAACTGGCATCTCGCTGATCCTTCCCAGGGGTTTTGGCAGCCGCTAGGATTACACCCGGAACGAACAACATGGATAACTTGGCCGTGTGGCAGGAGAAACACTGTAATGCTTGGGCTGTTACTTAGCAGTGGCTGCATCTGTCATGCTCAGATTGCAAACCAGTATATTCTATGCTATTGAGGAGCTCTGCAAAAATAAAAAGGTGGAATTAAAACTGTTTTAATCCTTTTGACCTTCTCTGACTTGCTTCTCAATTTAGCCTCTAAGTTAAGATGTTACCACACTTTCCAATCATCCCTTTGGGCTTCAGGGACAAACGGAAGGAGCTGAACATCTGACATATGAGTGTCCATATCTTGACCACGAGAATCTTTCAGGATTTTATCTCAGTCATGCTCTTCCACACTAGACACCAATTTTTCTCTTTGACGACATTTACTCACTTTGCACTCAGATGTCCTAGTTTAACCACCCAATTGTAGTTACATAGTTGTCCTGGTTTTAGCTGGGACCGGGTTAGCTCTTCTTTTTAGCAGCTAGAAGAGCTCCGTGTTTTGGTTTTACTCAGAGGCTCGCTCTGAGAAGAATGCTGATAGCAAGTTGATGTTTGTGGTTGGACGTGAAACTACAAGGACTTTTCAGTGTGCCGGAGTGCAGAAGAACAGCAGGACAAGGAGGCCACGATTCCCCTTGTGATTTGTGGTGGAACTTAAGAGTGAGGGCCAAACAGTATTCCATATCATGCAGCGTCATGCCCAGTATAAAAGTGAGGGTCAGCCGGACAGAAGGGCTTTTGCACTTTGGCTCTTTCGCCGCTTTTGCTCTTTTGCGCTTGCTGCGCTTTTGCTCTATTGCCTTTTTTCCCCCCCCTCTCTCCCAGTACGCCCACTCTCGGAGTACTATCTCTCTCTCTGCCCCTCTGTATTTTGGGGCCTCGTGTTCGTCCAGGATTGCAGCTTCAGGACGAGACAGGCTTCGCATACGAGGGGGTGGTGAGCATCTGCCCTGTGTATTAAATCATCTGTATTTAATTGTTCTTATCTCAACCCACGGGTTTCCCGTTTCTCCTTTAATTCTCTCCCTCATCCCTGGGGCTGGGGGAGGGGGAGTCAACGACTGTGGGGAGGGCAGTTTGGTTGCTGGAGCAGCCTAATCCACAACAATAGTTTTGAAAAAAAGACTGATAAGAAAGACGAGGGATGTTGGTCTATATCTGCATTTTTTAATTCATCTGGTATTTAAACTTTTCTTTTACAACATTGACTACTGGCTAGTACTGGCTAAGCTCAGTACAGTCTATTAGCAAATCTTGTTTCTGCTGACACTCTGCCAATAGCCAACTTCATGCAGGGTTATTTCATTTCACTGTGCCTCAGTTTGTAAATAAGGGCATAAAATTACCATCCTTTACAAAGTTCTTTGAATTTATAGGCAAAACAAGTTGTATTCTATAAACAACACACAAAACATGTTTTTTTTAAAAAAAGCCTTTTTTACCTCTTGAATAAGCTTCTCAGATACAGCCCATAATGAACTAGTGCGTTCATTACATTAATTTCAGCCAACTTAATGGCAAAAACTTGATGGGACCTCGGTGAGGACCTATGCACATGAACTAAGTGGTCTTTCAGCTTTATGCAACCTCTAAGGTCAAAGGCTGCCCAGTGCTCTGCAGCCCCTGATCTCCTACTTCTGCTTTGGCTGTTGGGCATACAGCCTTGCTGAATCTTGGACACTGTTTGCCCACGACCACAATCTTGAGCAAGTGCTCAGTATTTCATTGTCTGCTGTCTACAATATAACTGGAAAGGTTATTGTTGATGTGTCTTGATTTTATTTAAACTAATGGTGTAGTAACCTGCCATTCACCATTTATCCAGAACTCAATTCTTCAAGTGGTTGAACATCATCTCATGCTTGTAGCTGATGTGGGATCTTTCTCATACTAAGGTCTGCATTTCTAAACTCTCAACTTTACCAAATTTAATGTATGTGATTTAAGGTGAAAAGTTTCTCTAGATGCAAGATCTCAAGTCTACAACTGATTTGACAGGAAAAGGAGAAACAATAAAGCAGTGTCATCTCAAATCCTGCCATACTGCCATTCTCTGGCTGACTGTCTCACATTAGGCTGTCCAAAACAGAGTTCAAACATATCCCTCTCTGAGAGGAACAGTAACTCACTGGGGATGTAAGGTACAGCCCATGGCAGCACATCCAGCCTTAGCACATAAATCTGGTCTTCCTGAAAGTTCTGATCTGCAGCTTTTTGTGTACTCAAGCCCACATCCTCCCAGAATGAGGACAAAACAGGATTACATTCTCAGGAAGAGCAACAATGAAAGGTCTTATCTTAGACCACACTGAGACGGCCAAAGGACAGTGCGTGCAGTGAGGTGGATCAGTGCAATACCTGAATGCGTTTGATACAAGAAAAGCTCCTGTTTGGCACTGATGAGCCAAGCGCCTTTGTGTATTGCTGACCTGCAAGAGAGAAAATGCCTGAGAGATCCTTGGCCATTGAAGTTAAAGTAGAGCTGGACACTCACTCTCCAGCTAAACGGTGGAACATTTCTACAAGGACCAACACCACCTTTCACCAGCACATTGAGACATTGATTCAAGAGACCCCATTATACAGAGTAACTCTATTACAAGTACCATCTCATTGTAAAGTATGGGTTTGACACTGTCAAAACCCATTTTCACTTCTTTTTATGGCTAAACTCTTTGCCATTTGGATGAAGAGCTAAGAGTGAGGTGAAAGGATTTTATTCACCTGGGCTTAACAGATGACTTATGCTTTGGGTACTGAAGCTAAAGTATTAAAACCTCAAAGCAAAGATACTTTGTGGAGGAACATTCTCGCTTTTCATTCCCAATCTGATGACCGTCTTCAAGATCGTAAAATCTTATTTCTAAGGAGTGAAAAACAAGATTAGTAAAAACATCATGCACTTATCCTGGACTCAAATGGAGCTGTGTCCTCATACAAAACCACAGAAAAAGAAAGAAAAATATTCTTTTACTCACTTTCCTTTGTTAAACACTGAGAAGCTAACATTGTGGGACCCTGGAGGAGAGAAAAGCAGTAAGATTTACGGCAGAAGCACAGAGGGCTCCATGAAGAGTGCATCCTACCAAACCTTGCCCAGGTGTCGTGGGCCTGATTCTCCTCTTCCTTGCAGTGTAATGGCATTGATTTCAGCAGTGTGTGTGTGCAGGAACTGAACCAAGTATCAGCTCAGGGAGCTTAGAGCCCTAGATCATAGGTAAAGTATACTGCAGATAAATACAGTCATGTGGCTCAAATCTGCAAGCTGAATCTCAGGGGCAGGATTTGGTGGCCTAAGTGCTTTATGTCACCTTAGACCCTATAGAACCTATCTGACCTCACTTGCCATCCTAAGAAGGTGCAGACCTCCTTCAAGACCTCCATTATCTGACACACCTCTGGAGAGATCTGAGATACCTCAAGACATCTCTGAAGTTCTCTGTTCCACCACTATCTACATGACAGCTAGATATTAATTTCTGTTTTATATATTTAACTCAGATCATCTTTCCCAAGCAGGAAGCTTGCTGCTCAAACAAAAGCTCGGAAAGAACTCAGAAGCTTCTTCAAAGTGCTAGGAAGCAAGGAAAAATGAAAAGGATCCAACCTGCTACTAGAGAGACCATGAATAGAAGTGGGCACCCAATTTATTCCTCTCTGATAACAGAGCAGTAAAGGTAATGTTTATCACATACCAGGAGGAAAAAAGTGGGGGGGGAAAAAGTAAACTGACCAAAGGTCCTAAATAATATTGGTACTTTCAGTAGCATTCACTTCATCTCTGTCATGGTTTCACTTGAGCGCTGCACTTCATTTTCCCCCAAGGCTGTGCAGAGGACACAGATCACCGCAGTGGCTGTTGAACTGTGGCAAGCCCTGACATGAAGCAAGTTTTCTGGACTCAACCCTGAGCCAAATTCTGAACTGGAGACAGCATAAGAACTTGTGATGGACACCCTCTCTCTGCCCTCTGGATTTGCAGGAAGAACAGAAACCCATGCGTTTTTCCCCTTTTTCACCAACCTATATGGTTCCCTTCCACTCGGCACTGCAGGGTCCCCAGTCCATCCTCTGCCCGAATAGGGTAGCTGTGGAGACACAAAGGACTTTGCTAAGACTTGTGAGCAAAAAGAGTAAAAAGCCAGTGAGAACCATCTAACCAAAGATGTGGACTTACACATCTCAGCTAGTCACATTTGCCTTCCTTTAGAAATGAAGAAGAGAAACAGGTGGGATGGGAGAGGAACAATCCATCTCCCCACTGACCACCAGGAGCTTAGCAGCTTAGGAGGAAGGCTACCACCAGCACCCAGTGCTCCAGAACAGCTCCTTTACCCTTGTTACCAGAAGCTGATCCTGCTCATGACCTTAAGAACTCCCATTTAACATAAGAGCAGAGGGTGAGGGTAAATAGAACAATGAAAATGTTTCCTCTCTACTTGCTCCTCTGCATGGCCCTAATCTGTAAGTAGGAGCAGGCAGCAATTAAATCAGATATGCTGGCATTACATCAACCTTCTGGAGCCACGGAACGAAGCAAGACCCATCATCAACTCACATTTGCATACAAGTCTCTCTCCTGAGAGCCAGAAGGAACTTTACGGCACAATAAAAGGGCCTGCTGAGGACCCCAGGAGCCTTAACACTGACTTCTGCAGGAGCAGGTTTTTCCCCTTGTTCCCCGTAAAAGCAGCCTCCCTTTTCCAGGGCTCACAGGTGCTGTGGTAAGTGCATCATTCATAAAAAATGCTTCTGCAGAGTCCACGTTTTTTTTTCCGTAATTCAACAGGGTGCAAAAGCCAGCAGTCTAAAGTGTCTCCTGCAACTTGCAGAAGACAATGATACATTGATACCAGTAAAGGAGCAGTGCTAGGGCCCAGGTACCAAAGTCTGTCTGCCTATGGAGTTACATTTTTAGAATTCTGTTTGCCCAGTTTGGGCTCAGGTCACCTAACCCAGCTTTCACATTAGTGTCTGTATATGACTAAAGACAATGCATTGACCTGAGTCAATAAGCAGCTTGGAAATAACTCCCCTGTTTTGAAGTCTAAAGAGCTGAACAGATGCGGCCAGGGCATCACATATCATCTCCAGGCCAGAGAGCAGCCCCTAGCCATCCCTGGTTATGGCTAGTGCCCCAGAGAGACAGCAGTTCTCACCCATCCCTGTCATGGACCATATGGTCAACTTCCCATGGTCCCTCTCCATCTTAAGCCAAAGCAGAAAAGCTTCTTCAAAAGCCAAGAAAAGTTTGTGTGCCTGAGCTGTGCTGAGCCCTTGCATCAAGAGAAACCAAAGTTAAGTCAAGAACTCACATGCTTCCAGCTCGCCTGTCAGCAAAAGAGCAGAGACTGGTCCATCCATCTCCTTCTGCCACAAGGATAGCTGGTCTAGGCAAAGAAATCAACAGGGAAGATGAGATACAATACAACAAAGTTTCACAAATGAAATCCTGATCCTGTTAAAATTAGCAGCTGATATTTTCAAATGGGACAGGGATTTCCCTTCACTTGTATTTAACATTTACCACCTTCCAAGAAAACCAGACAAAGTCTAATCTCTTCTCTCTTCACCTGCAAAGCGTATTCTGCAAATACTGCAGGAACTGCACCTCTGTAAAGATTGTTGCAGGACAATTTGAGACACCCATGCTAGCTCTAAATGACATGATATCTCTTCCCTGTAAGGAAGTATTGGAAGTCTGAGCTGCAGAAGAACTATACAGCACCATGCTCATACAGTCATACTGCTTCAAGGTGCAGCTCAGTCATTTCTTTATTTCATTGAGGAAAAACACTACAAACAACCTCTACTAGAAATCATCCAAGTGCCTAATAATAAATTAAAGTATCCCCACCTTGTTCAAGTATCCCTACCTTAAAGAATCAATATGGCAATGGACAACTTCCATTGGAGAGAATGAATCAGGTGGGAGCAATAAATCCACAGTAATTAGCATAATAAGCAAAGGTTAGCAATGATTCTTTAAGAATTAACAGGCAATTAAAGAAAATATGCAATTAAGACTTGTAGTGTAAACACTTTGTTATGACCCATGCTTCAGAGTGTAATTTTATGAGGCTTTATTGAGAGTTTGCTTTTATTAATACAGCTTGCTGATATTGAGATGCCTTTCCATATAAGGATGAAAAGAAAAAAACAGTGCTGCAAAACATTTGGTCCAGCATCACTGGACCATTGCATCCCATACAAAGTGTGGAAAAGAGTGCAGAACATGCTTGGAAGTATAAGAACAGTCCTCTCTTTTGTTCCAAATCCTGAATCAGTGTGACTGAGGGACAGACTGCTCTGGTCAAGTCCAAGTCCTCACCTGTTACGTATTTACCACGCACCAAAAATGGGCAAATTATTCATGTGAAGTTAAGATGTGACTCTGTTGGGTATGCTAAGATTTTGAGGCAATTTCCTTTCTGGCAATGGTGGCGTTAGGCTGTAAATGAGTAATCTAGCAATGGAGCATGCAGGCACATCCAACCTGCAGTCAGGCAGACCGGCCTTTCTTCCCACTGATCAAAGGTTTCACAGTTCCACTACAGGCAGGTAAAACAATAATTAATATCGAACAAAGGATGCTGATGTGCCTCCAGTGAGCAAAAATGTAGGGCTGAAAAACAGGTGCAGCTGGTATGGCAGGAATCAGCACTGGACTTTCACTCACACAAGCAAAGAATTTAGTTACTTAGTAAAGGACATTTCTGTTCAGCCTGAGAAATAGTTAAAAAGCATCTAGTGGTCAAGTATCTGCTGCTGCAACCAAAATGTCTAACTACTGAGAATACACACCACCCTCGGCTCCTGAAATGATCCTTAAAACGCCAGCACAGTAACCATAGATTAATAGTTTATCTTTAAAATACTCACCTGGGCTTAGTTCTTCACTGCCATTGACACAAGCGTAAGGAAATTGTAATGCAGTAGAATGAGAACACTTCCATACATACGGAAACACATATGACAGACAGGTCAGCGTGCAGGCTCATTTTGGATTCACTGTGCTTGAAGTGCTGCTGGCTTGAGGTAAATTTTAAAATTCTACCTGCTTTGCTTTGTCACATGTAACCATAGAAGCAGCAGAAAATAAAAATCAAGCCTTCCTTCAGAACAAGTGACCAGGGAGGGCTTAAAGCAGTGAACAACAAAGCCTTTTGTCTCAAAATACTTCTGCTTTGTCTTCTGACTCACCAGAGCATCTGTTTCAAATTAATAGTTCTTCTAAAAATGCAAATGGAAGGGAAAATTTATTTAACTTTTAGATTCTGACATTATTTTAATTAGTTAAATTTTAATTTGCTAGTCAAAATAAAATCTACAGCAACCAGACGCAATTACAGTACAATTCACACTGAGCAGTGATTGACTGTGCTGCCAGTAAACAAACCAACTAGCTTAATGGACCAGTTGCAATTAGATTAACAAAGTTTGCTGGAGCCCAACTCATGAGCTGCAATAAACCACAAAGGAAGTAAATGGCAATTCTGGGCCAACTGGTTGCAATTTATTGCTGTCAAGGATGCTGATGGAAGAAATTCCAATTTACAGGGAATGGGTCAGATAGCAGCCTATATAAAATTACCCATCAATATAATCCACGTTGAAGTCCAGGGTCTCGTATCTTCCAGCAATTGTCTTCCCACGGATCTCTATTAAATTTCCTGTTTAAAAGAAATTTGAAATTGAAGAGAGTCTTTTAGAAGTAGCTGATTTGTATTTGCAAATTTTGTGAGCTGAACAAAAGAAATTCTCAGTCCTTGCAAATTTTGCAGAGGTGCCCAAGTGGTTGACATCTACTCTCAGCTTCTACCATAGTTCAAGGTGACTTTGGACTTAATTCACCACACACGTCTTTGTTTCCCACAAAAAAGTCCATTCCTGATTTTTTTTTTGGCAGATCTCTAGTATTTGTACTGAGAATATACTTTCCTCAATTCTTTTAACTAAACCCCACATTCTAACCAAATTCCACTGTAGAACCTCATGAGGCAACCAAAATGACATCATTTGTACACTAGACAGGGTCAAGGTCTAGAGAAGGACCTTAGCATATATGTGGCCAGCTGAATCAATCCCAACACTCCCTTGACCACGCTGGGTGACAGCTTGGTTCAGTTGCCTGCACAGAGGTGTCTTAAATCATTTGAGACACCCTATAGTCCCATGTGGCTCCAGAAGGGAATGAGTCTTCCTGGTTCTGTGTCATATCTACCTGCTCCATGTGGGTCCTTCATGTTCCAGGACATCTCAGATAACACCAGACACTTAGTGTTACCCTCACGTTCTTCACTGACTACACTAGGAGGTCAAACATCCAGCTAACATGTAGAAACCTCCATAGAGACAACCTAAAGCAAGGCATGAGAATCTGGAGCTGAACTTCACCTGAAAATAACTGGAAATGAGGGATGGACTTAGATTTAGGAGCATTTATGTGATCTAATCATCAAGGTATCTCTCTGCACTCTTGAGACACCAAAATGTTTTCATTAATCTTTACTTTGGAAATCGGCATTTCAGTTTTCTCTAAAGAAGCCTGCAAATACAAACAGAGTAGAAATAGGGGGAAAAAATCTTCCATACACCAGTTAACTGTTCAGACCAAAACCAGTGATTGTCTTCTCACATAACTTTAAAGCCTGATCTAAAGCCCCATTAACTAAAAGGTCTGTATGGCATTACAATATCACCACATAATAGCTAATTCTTCTTAAAACTGTTACTAAATAGGGTCAGATGACTTGAGAGTTGAGACTGATTAGACCTATCCATCTGCTGAACATCATCTCCCTACTCAGGCAGGTAAGCACCAAACAACCTGGTCACCGTGCATTACCCACTCATACCCAGTGCGCTGCAGACTCTCTCCTGTTGTGCAAACCCATTTTCCTATTCAGCATGAGCCTGGACATTAAGTTCTGAAGGTGCCCATTTTAATTGCCAGCAAGACAGATCCCTCGTAAGGAGAAAGACAGTATGGAACATCAAATAATAATTAAAGTGGGCTCCAGCTTAAAGAAAGGTCCCATACCTGGGATGCCAGATGGGGGACTAATTTGGTGAACCACAGGTGTCTGCGCAGCAGAGAACTGCAAAGAGAATTTTTAGTTAAATGGCCGTCGTTTTCACAGCAGTCCAACAGGATCTGATTACGCATCACGCACAACACAGTTGGCAACCACATTTCAGAGACTCACACTTCAGATATGGTCTTTGAAGCAGTGTCCTGCTCTGAGAGAAAAGTACAAATATTCCCTTCTTGCCCCCTCTACATTCAGAATGTGGCTTACTGCTATTTTTATATCCTCTTTTGTGCTCAAATTGTCCACCCTGGCTTCAGTCAATTCCAGAACATACGGCTTAGTACACTATAAAATTTCTAAGCCATGGCTTTATCTGAAGTTGAGACCTCCATTTTGTCTTGCATTATGGCACTATTTTTCTTCCCAATAGCGTACTCTTAAAAACTATTACTACATCACGGAAGTTAAATACTCCAGCTAGCCTTCAGCAAGCTTGTTGGGTACCCTAAAGCAGTGTAGTAAGGAAAATCTTTGTGTTGGCACATCTCAATGCAGTATAATACATCAGAGGTGTCTTTGGGAAAGCACTACCTTGGCCTCTGAGGGAACAGCAAGGAAACAATGGAAATCTGCTGTGAAGTACTATTTTTGACTTAAAGGGAGCCCAAGAAGGAGCAGAGAGATTGTGCTTTGAAGTAAGCCTCTCAGAAGATGCGGAACACACAAGAACCCTTTCTGAGTGGAGGAATGTCATCATCAGCATCTCAAAGTATCTGAGACACACAGATACTTGACCTGGCACATCCTTTAGCTGCATCTTCAACAAGTAGGACAGCCCTTTCACCCCTTTTCTCTAATCAACTCTAAAATCTGTGGGTCTTTTTTTAAACAAAATTACTCTAGAAATTTTTTGCCTAGACTGACACCAATCCTTTTCTAATGGCATTGTGTGGGACCACTAGCCATCTGTCAAGTGGCCAGCAGCACACATGGTCCTCTACACACTGTTAACTCATGTGGAACCAGTATATTCTGTAAATGTCCCTGTCCCTCCCTGGAAGATGGCAGACAAAACAAGACAAATAAATGGATTGCTTCATCAGCTAAAAAGTACCTTATGTCCAAATTGAGCATCTGGATCCCAGGACTAAAGGAAATAAAAAGGCAGTGGAGACCCTTAGTAACTGTTTAAAGAATTCCTG